AGACCTTGATCTCTTTCTGTTGACCTGCTAAATTGCCTCTAACCTCTAACCCCCAATAATTATGAGGATGGAGTGCAGCGAATAAAATAAATTATATAAAACAGCAGTAGTTCACAACCAGACATAAATTTCATCCCTACAGAAACAGTGTTAACAAAGCAATGAATAAAAACTACTCAGTTGCCTTCAATATCCCCCCTCCCCCCCCAACAAAAAGAGAAGACAAAGACATCCTCAGGTCAAGCTTGGTTTCTTTCATATGCTTATATTGGTAATGTATTTTTGGCAATAATACAACAGTAGTTCACAGTTCCTTCCGTTCTCTTTTTCAGCTTCTTAGAGGGAAGCCTGAGGATCGTAGAAGAGCAGGCAGAGCTGGAGGGTGGAGTTAAACATGTCATCACTTTGGAGTCCTTGCATTGCCACAAGAGATCCAAGTCCAGCCTCCCCTTGAATTCCATTGACCCTTATCTAGGACCAATTTAACATTAACAACCATTAGTTGACTAGATTCTTGAGGATAGGTTTCAATAAATCACTTATGCTGCAACCTTACGAATGGTCCTTGATTCTTTGCCCCTCACATGGATTTCCTGATCCATGTCCTGATGGTTTCGCATGGAAGTATTAATCAGGTCCCACTCTACTTCACTGTTGGGAGATCAGTCAGGTTTGGCTAGGCACTGCCACCATGGAGAGCGTGATCAGTCGCAATAATCAAGAGAAGAGTATGGATTCTGTCTTTATCCTGACTTTGTATTCCCGTAATATGAAAGGAAGTCCATTCTGATATTCTCCAGACTACAATGGTCTGGAGAATTTTTATTTTCAAAAGTCTGGTGTGTCTTTACAATGGTTGCAGCATCCCAGGGTCATGTAATTATCGTTTACGACCTTCTCAGCCAGCTTCCAGCAAGCAAAGTCAATGGGGAAAGCTGGACTCATTTAAAGACCACATGATTCACTGAGCCACTGCAGTGATTCATTTAACAATCATGGCAAAAAGGGTCATGAAATTGGGCTTGACAACTGAAATTCTGGCCTCAATTGTCGTAAGTTGAAGACTACCCAAAAATTTAATAAACAAAATAGCGGTTGCCAGAGAAAAAAGCTCAGAACTGGAATTTTGGGTCAGAGCATGTAAATACAATTAGGTTCTCAGATGTTAGGAACAACTCTCTTCTTTCAGGAGACCTCTAATTCTGTAATAAACTATTTTATCTAAATCTAATCCAGATTTCCTTTGATAATACCGAACTTAAGAGCATCTATTTGACCACTATTTGGACATTATACAGATAAATGTGTTCTGATAGAATAATCAACCTAGTTAAAACACATCTACAATTATGTGTACCCTTCACTAATCCCCTATTCCTGCTCATATTGCTGTGTTTTGTACAAGATTTACAGTGACACAAGCAGCTTTGCTTTTCACCCAAACCAAATGGAAGCCTGTCCAATTTAATCTCTTTGGCCTTAGATGTGCCGTTATTCCAACTGCAGTAGATGGGGATGCTCCAGTTGCACCATCCTCCATCACCAAATGATGTGGTCACAAAGCACAATGTCATGGGAGCGTGTTGCTTAACAATGGCAATTCCGGTACTGCCATTGTAACCCAAGGACCATGGAGGTTGTTCAGCGAATTACCACAGGATTGCAACTTCCAACTTCCTGCCAACTTTTCCATTGACTTTACTTATGGGAAGCCCATGGGGATGTCAGAAAGTGCAATCAGGTGACTGTCAATCATTTGTTGCAATGACCAGAACTCTGAAGTCCAGTTGTATATTCAGCATTTATATACTCATTTGGGAACTGAGGCAAGATCAGGTAGCAGTACCTGAATTAGAATGAATCTGGCTGCTTTGATCTTACAAATAATTATGATCTTTCTCTCTCTCTTTCTCTCTCTTTCTCTCTCTCTCTCTCTCTCTCTCTGTGTGTGTGTGTATTAGAAAAACAAAAGAAATTGAACACCAGGATAAAAGTATAAACAAAACTGTTTTAATATAAAACCACTTAACTTTCATCAGCCAAACTGCCGGCATCGTCAGAGTTAAAGTAAAGGATCTGGGAGTTTACTTATACGGCCAGCTGTTTCTGCGCCCTGCTCCTTGAGCGAGTCACAGGTCCATTTGCTTTGATCGACCGTAATGCTCCTAGTCGTCCCGCACCTATCAGCATATTGGCGAGTTCACAAGCTGTTCCCCTGCCCGCAGTTGCTCCCTTAGCGTGCGTGCAAACACCCAGAGGCTGCTTATCCAGCCGCTTTTGCTCTTTGCTCCCCTCCTCCCTTTCTTCTAACCGAGCCTGAACGTCCGTCCCAGAATTGAATTCAGGGCTCGCTACAGATTCATTGTCCTCCCTGGGGGTCATGGTTGTTTCATTTACACTGTTCAGGATCCTGCACACACCCAGGATTCGCGTTTTTAATACAATTAATATAATATACACTAATGATGTTATTTGGTAACGTTGATAAATTTTGATTACCATATTACATTGCTTCTTTTCCTTTAAGATGGCTGAGAGTGGCATAAAAGCATTCTAAACAATACATAAAGAATGATTTCCAAATTCCAGATGAGACCATTCAGATATTTCCACTCACTTTTAGCTCAACTATCCATAAGCATATCCCATGTACCTCTTCCTGATCTGTATGCTTATGTCAGGCGCTAAGAATCAGGACCACCTATTAAGTTCCAGCTAAGCTAATTTATTGATCATGCTTGTACACAAGAATCTAGTCAACTAACAGTCAGCACTAAATTGGAGCTAGATAAGAATTAACTGAATTCAAGAGGAATTGGACTTAGTCCAGGGTCCCCAACATCTGAGCTGCAGCCCACTTGTGGGCCATGAGATGTTTGCAACCAGCCTGCGGAAATGGTGGGTGAGTGCATACATGCATTCTCCATTTGCATGAGTGACAGGCATGCGTGCACAATGCTTTCGCAAATGAAACAGCACATACTTGCCAGCCTCTCACACAGAACCATCCCTTCTCCCTGCCATCAGTCCGCAAAGCCAGAAAGGTTGGCGGACTCTGACTTAGACCTTTTACAACAGTGGTTCTCAACCTTTCTAATGCCGTGACCCCATAATACAGTTCCCCATGTTGTGGTGACCCCCAACCACTTCTACATCACCAGGTGCCAGGGGCATGGCCAAAGAAAAGGGGGGAAAAATGGCTGACAGCCTTGTTTGGCGACCCCCGTGAAATGGTCGTTCGACCCCAAATGGGGTCCCGACCCACAGGTTGAGAACCACTGTTTTACAAGAACATAATGTCTCCAGGCTGATTCCTCCCTTGAATCCACCCCCAGGCACTGCCTGTCCTTCTCCTACCAGTTACCCTAGATCAGGGGTGTCAAACTCACCATGTCATATGATGTGTCGTGATGTATCGCGACTTTTTCCCCATTGCCGGAGCTGGGGTGGGCATGGTTTCGGCATGATGCATCCAGCCCAGAGGCCGGCAGTTTGACACCCCTGCCCTAGATGAATTAGGACAAACCACACTTATAATGGATTTTAAAAACCTTTAGGTTGCTTTGCAATGCAAATAGGCCTATGTGTTTTTTTACCGCACTTAGGGAAAGGAAAGTCACCATAAAACCCTTGTTTTCAAAATCAGCTTTGGGGCACCTGATGTCTCATATGATGTTGAGGCAGTTTTATGCCCCACATATTATTCAAGCATTATAGCAGTTCCTAGTTTTTTCCAGCTGTAAACAATATTAGAACATTCACTGACAGACTTGACGAAAGATTTATATGTGTGGGCATCAACAGTTTTCAAGGGCTTGTTGATACCTGTCACATTTCAAATGCTTTGCCTGAAATTGCAAACTTGCAACAGAAGAATAATATTGCTAAATAAGTATACTGGATTTGAATTTGTTAAAAACAGAATATATATTACACTAATTATATGCTCTTGAAATATACCGTTGGCTTGGACCACTGACATGCGATGCATACCCGATATGGAAATACTATTCCACAGCTGAACAAACAGCTCTTATCTGGTTTGAATAATATAAATCATATTTGTCATAAGTTTTAACTGTGAGTCTAGTTGATGAAAGATTTGACCTGTGTTTGAGAGACCTGATCTGAATATTAGCTCAGTATGGATTTGTGGGTATGCTCTTTCACTCTTATTTCTGGTGTTAAACCAATTTGTCATTGTAACTTGCTTTGCAAGTTGAGCTCATTACAAATATGCTAATATTACCTCTGAATTTCTGTTAGTGGGAATGGCAGTGGTATCATGGGTGTACAGATCTGAAATAAAATCTGTTCATTCTAGCAACCATTGGGTTTTATTTTTAAAAAATTACAGCATTGTCTGTTCCTTATATATAAACACTGGATTGTTCATTCCCTACTTTGTTGGATGGAGAGGCCTGTATATTTAAAAAGGAAGTTATGTCAATGCAGAATGTTCTAGGTTGTTTTAGGGAAGGTTCAGCCAAGATACTTTTGATACGCTGACTTCATAAGACCCTCAAGAAAGATAAGGATTGCACATAGCAACAGGCGCTTTTGCCTCATAAATTTAAAAGATCTACAGAGTGTCCTTGACTTATGATCACAGTTGAGCCTGACATTTCTGTTGCTAAGCAAGACATTTTGTTAAGTGAGTTTTGCCCCGTTTTATGACCTTGCTTGCCACAAGTGAATCACTGCAGTTGTTAGTAGCATGGTTGTAAGTGAATCTGACTTCCCCATTGACTTGACTTGTCAGATGGATGTAAAAGGTAATCACGTGACCATGGGGATGCTGCGCCACTCGTGTGAAAAATGCTCAGAAGTCACTTTTTTCAGGGCCGTTGTAACTTTGAACGAATGATTGTAAGTTGAGGACTACCTGCCCCTTCAACAAGCAGAAAATAAATCCGTGGAGCTCATAAAATAGATACTGACCCTTCTTGCAATGTCCATTGTTCTGTCTCTTATGTGTTTCAAAACATTTTATTTTATAGAGAAAGAGACCTTCTTGGACCCTTTTGTGTTAAGGGATCTCCTGCCAGCTTCTTTGGGAAGTTACTATCGGTATACAGGGTCACTGACTACACCTCCGTGTAGCGAAATTGTGGAATGGATTGTTTTCCGAATGCCTGTCCCCATCTCTTATCGGCAGGTAGGTTGGTATCATAAACAGCTTGCCTGATTCATTATTTTCTTAGTTTTGTTTTGCTTTTCTTTTTAATTTAACCCATTTTTTTCCACCACATATGTGTGAGACTTCATCCCTCCACCTACCCAACATGGCCAGCAGAATTTTAGGAATTGAATCTGGCGTGTGCTGGATTGTAAAGGTTTACTGGTCTAGTGTTTAAGGCACTAGGCCAGAAAACAGGAGACCATGAGTTCTAGTCCCACCATAGGTATGAAAGCCAGCTGAGTGCCCTTAGGCCAGTCACTCTCTTTCCCAGTCCAACTTGCCTCACAGGGTTGTTGTTGAAGGGAAAATAGGACAAGGAAGGTATCTTGGATCTGTTTGCCACCTTGAGTTATTTCTAAAAAAAATAGAAATAGGCAAGATACAAATAGATAAAATAAATAAAATATGCTGTAACCAGATTTCATTTCCTTTTCTTGGGAGAGTAGAAAAGACCTTCTTCTGTCCCATAAAAACAGCAAAATATATTCTTGATAGAAAAGGAAGCAATCTGATTTTGTTTTATTGTTCTCTGAAGCTCAACATCAGCCACTCCACACAAGAAGATAATAGAATGCGACATCTCATTTCCTTTTAAATGATTTTAGCTATTACTATTCTGTTCAGATATATTTAAACCACGATATAAATATTTACACAGAATTTTTCATTCTTTTCCCGTCTTCACATTTCTGCTCGAAAATTGTGCTAAGTCATTTTAGGCGTGTACAGACACAGATTTGATAGTTTGAGATAATTGCGCAGAGAAAGCAATGCTTTTGCTAATATACCGTCTTTGCCTATTTTCAGAACACCATGAAACTTGCATTGTGCTGACTCTGAAAAGGGTATACAGATCCTTACAAGGGTTTCATAGGAAGTCTTACTAGAGAACACACAAAACAGCACAAGGCAACAACAGATAATTTCAATGAGAGAAGTCCTAATGCACAGAATATTTAACTGTTTAACAATTAAAGAGGCAATGGCATTTAAAGTCTTAGTTTTAAAAAAAAAATTGTTATCACTTGTCCTGCCTCTTTTAGTTGCTAGTGTAAATACATTTCATTGCAACAAAGGACTCTTGGTAGACATTAACTGTTTGTGGAAACATCACCAATTTACATGAATGAATGAGTATAAATATTCAATAACCCACATGAATTAATTGAAAACATCAAGATGTCACCCATCCCACTACTTCTCAGTCAAGAGGGCACACCAAATTCATATGTCTTCTTTGATTATTGTTCTTTCCTGATTTCTCTATCCAATGAGGTCAAACAGTGGATTAAACCAAATCCACATATTTCACTATTTGTTCTCAGAGTTTACAATTATGGCAATAGCAGTAGCACTTAGACCTGGGGTCTCCAACCTGTGGGCCACGGCCCGGTAGTGGGCCGTGGCCTGCTGGTCACCGGGCCACAGGACAGGCTGGCCAGTGCACGCACATTTGTTTGCACACCCCCTCACTTGCGCTAGTGCTGTGGCCACGGGGTGCAAGAACAGGATGCCGTAAAAATGGACCACCGCCGTGCCTCAGAGAACAATAAGGGACTATCATCGTGCCATGGGGCACAAAAATGGGGTGCCGCCTCACTGTGGGATACAGAAACAAGACGCTGCATCATGCAAGAATGGGGCAGGGCTAGTGAGTATCATGAGGGCACTAGCCCCACCCTGTTTGCGCACTTGTGTAAAATGCTTCCCCCTCCCTTTTCCTTCAGTCCGCCAATTGAGAAAGGTTAGTGACCTCTGACCTAGACCATTGCACAGTGCTTTTCAGCACTCTCTAAGTGGCTTGCAGAGGCAACTTGGGAGGACCTGTGTCCAAATCTCTGCAGTACTTAAGACATGCAGGCTAAAACACTAGGCAAGATTATTGGGAGAATAAAAGAGAAGGAAAGAAAACATATGTATATGTGTTTAGCAATAGCACTTAGACTTATATACCACTTCACAATGCTTTACTGCTCTCTCTAAGTGGTTTACAGAGTCAGCATATTGCTCCCAGCAATCTGGGTCCCCATTTTACCAATCTTGGAAGGATGGGAGGCTGAGTCAACCTTGAGCCAGTCAGGATCAAACTCCTGACTGTGGGCAGAGTCAGCCTGCAATACTGCATTCGAACTACTGTGCAGTAGTTCGAATGCAAGATTCCTTGGTTATGGTTCAAATATTATGATATTTGTAATATTCTTTGGGTTATTCTTAGAAGTGAGTAACTGTGGGATGCCTTTAAAGTATGTTATTCTAGTAGTGTCAAAGGAGTATTATTATTATTATTGGCAAGTTAAATCAATGTATCGCAGGTTGAAGACTTTAATTGAAGAATAGGGCCCATAATGTACCATACAGTCGAGTGTGGGTCAGTAAATAGGTATTTTTCAATTTCCGAGTCTAGGACAAAGAGAGACTTGGTTCCAAGTTCCCTGCTGATCCCCAAGCATAAGACAGGATTGGAATCTGGGTCTCTGCTCATAATCCAGCACCTTAAGCACTAGATCACACTGGCTTTTGAAATGTCCCCAAATGTCTGACATTATAGCAGTTTCACTAATGCAGTGAAAAGTTCACAAATCACATATGGCCTAGTGGATCTCTCTAGGAACACTTGCTAAAAACTTTAGAAAGACAGAAGTGGTGGAACATTGATAGCAAAAGATTAAACTTGCCAGTTTTTTCTCTCTGTGTGTAATAGTGTGCTCAAAATTAAATTTAGTTTAGTGTAAATTAATGAAATATCTCTCATATAACTATTTTATGTCCTTAATAACTGTTTCCTCGTGCAGCCTTAAAAATTAAAAATTTGTTCAACTCCTGGATCTATATGCTCACTTTTGTCCCTAAGATTATGCATCTTTGCTATACAACTACATCTATAGTGTCTTTTTGCCTTCTTTCTGTTGAACAAAAGATTTTCTGCTCCTTGACTGTCATGCTGAAGGTCTCTTTAAATGATATTTTGAATTAAATTCCTTAAATGATAATTTGAATCAAATTCTTATAAGGATTGGGTTCAATTATGTCCCTAGGCTGTGCTATAGCTAGAATATATCTACATAATCAAGATATTTAAGTTAAGGTAAGGAGATTCATCTGCTTGTCATAAAAAGCAGATTCATTTGGGATTTCTGCTTTACAAGAATATTATCCAAAGGAGAAATATTATTTAAGAAAACAAGAAAAAAACAGCAAGAAAGGGAAACATAGTTCATCCCTTGTGAGACAGGATGGCATACCTCAGTTTTTCTCTGTCTGCTAGACTCCTTCTCATTTTAGAAATTATGTTTTTACCAAAATGTTTCTATTTCTGCGGCTGCAGCCAAAACGTCAGCATTTTTATAGAAAGTATTTTACAAAGTGGAGTGTGCCAATCTGAACATGCCTTTAATGTGCCAATTTTTCTAAAATGCATCCTGCTTACTAGTTTTTGGACTGTGGCCTTCATTCTAGAAAATGTTAAATACTCTTGGCTGAAAATAAGAGGAAACTTGATAGACAAAAGTTCTATTTTTACTCCAGCTGTGGCTTCTGCTTGCAGAGAAAATGTACGCAGGTAGATTTCTTTCCCAGCCCTTCTTTTTATTTTTTTTTTCCCCCTGCACATTTTTGTCATTTAGAACACGTTTCTCAACCTTGTTAATTTAAAATTTGTGGAAGTCAACACCATGCTGGCTGGAGAAACTTGGGCATTGAAGTCCAAACATCTTAAAGTTGCCAAGATTGAGAAACACTGATTTACAGCTAAGCTACCTTCTTTTTTTTTAACAGTATGGATAGCCTGCAACACCATGGGTATGGGATTTGCTGTAAAGAAGAGATGGGAATATGGGAATATGTCATACCATGAGCTGTGATTGATGTTACTCTGGAATGATTGTGTATCCCTCTTTGGCACAGTAATAGTAATAGTAAAATAAAAACACAACACAACATAAAATAAAACGGAGACAGTGAGCAATATATATATATATATATATATATATATATATATATATATATATATATATATATATATCTTGAAGCCTTTATAGTAAGGAGAGGCTAAGAAATAATCTTTTCCTTGACTCTCTTTGACATTAACTTTCTACAGTGTGTTCTTGGCTGCCTGGCAGAATAGCAATGAGGCTAGATAAGGCTGCTGGCAGGGATTTCAGTGGGCAGACGTTTTCCTGTTTGATTTATCAGTCTTGGCATCAGGACTTCCTGCCATTTTGTGTTATTATCAGCTGCCCACATTTCACCACATTGTTTTTCTAATTAATGTCTTTTTTCTCCTCCTTTCCCCTTATCCTGATCGTGGCTTTCAGTTGGAAGCCTTCTATTCCATATTTACCACGGAACAGCAAGATCATGTCAAATCTGTGGAATACCTACGGAATAACTTCCGGCCTCAGCAACGCCTGAACAACAGGATTGTTTCCAAGTCAGCTGTGAAGGATGCTTGGAACCAACTTTCAACCAGCATGTTCGAAAATCCACTGGGCACCGAAGCCTCCAAAGGTACAGTGTCCATTGGGGATTTGGGGAAGCACCATCCCTTTAGGGCAGGGGGAGGGGGAATAATGGCCCCTTCATGACTTGTGGACTTCAGCTCCCAGAATTCCTAGGCCAGCATGTTTGTGTACATGGAGTGATCACGGAAGCATGGTCAGGAAGGCACAGGTAATCATTAGGCTTTTGATCAATGTACTTTGTTTTCAACACATTTCACATCACTCAAATAGCAGTGCTCAGGAATCTTGTTTAGCCACTGCCTCATTTAGCGACCATGTATAGCTACAGTGGTGATGGGAAAAATAACTTTGCAACCAATTGTCACATCTACAACCTTTGCAGATCTGTAAAGCAAAAGAAACCTGAAGTAAAACTGTAAACACAGTAGAGATTTTGCTTAGTGTCTGATTTGTTTAATGACCAAGTTGCCAGTCTCAACTGGTACTAAACAAGGACTGATACATACAGATGAACTAGTAATAAATCCCACGAGGGATTCACACACACAAACACACACACACTGGTTATGCTTTTTCCCATGCATTGCCCCTGTTCCCATGTTTGTGTACAATTTTTTTTAATGTTATATAAATTTGATGGCTTGATGGTTCAGATGGGAAAAAAACAAAACACAACAACAAAAATTAAAGTTACCGTTGCTGAGACAGTTTCTGTTTTATCGCTACCAATCATTTTGTTGAAAATGCAGACTTTTTTTTGCCGCAGGGCAGGGAGGCCAGGCACTTTTGTGAAAATATAGAAAAGCAGAGTTTTTAGACCACCTTTTAACTTTACTGTGTTTTCATGATGCTGTTGCATTAAACTTCCTGCTCTCTCTAGGAGGCCTTTTGTGTGCAACAAAAATGCTAGAGAGACATGAATCCCCATTTAATCAGTTCACGAATTTTAGATACATCCTGCTTTTTCAGCTAAGGTGGGTCCCAAAGTATCTATTAAAAACCTGAAAATATTCAAATTCTGTAGTGCTGGAGTAGGTTGGCTCCGTACAGCTTTAAAGGCATTATTGTTAGAACTGCGTAGTAGTCCAGGCAAGAAGCACAACCCGGTCTTTAGTGTAAGGTTACCTTAACAGAATAAATAAATATATGGCACTTCTCAGGCCCCTTAATGACAGCGTGGTGGTGGCAGATTGAAATGGGCTTTGTAACATTATCAGAAAACATGAATATTTATTGCTGGTGTGTGGGCCACCTATGGGCCTCCATGAAAGGTAATAGCTTGCATTAGAATAAAATAGCAAATTGGACTTGTTTTTATTTTTTATTTTCAGAGCAACCCTTAGAAATATATTGCATAGAATTACAAAGGTTTTCCTGCTTTGAATGAATGCCTGCAATATTTCCCATGTTAATAACTGCTGCAGAAATGTTACAGCACCCTTATGTAGAGTGTTTTATTTATTTTTTTTGGCATCTGGGATCAGTAGGAATGGTTCTGAATTCTTTACCCAAAATAAAAAGTAGCTCCATAGAATTATATCCTCTCGAGAGCAAAGATTACAAGCCAACTTTTGGCATAGTAGAAATAAATGGATAAATAATATGGGGTAATACAACGAGAAATTTAAATAATTTTGGTTTATGGGTTAGCATTACACCTAAAAAACAATGAAGTGGCTAATTCAGCAAATGATTTTCTTACAACTGATTATGTATAAACCTAGGTAGTTTTTTCTTGGTTTGTGACATTGGCTATAAGATATCAAGGGAGTATCTGTAGCTCTCCAGATATTATTGAACTACAATTCCCAAGATCCTCATCACAGATCATGTTTTGTGGAGTTGGTGAGAGCTATGGAATAGAATAGAATAGAATAGAATAGAATAGAATAGAATAGAATAGAATAGAATAGAATAGAATAGAATAGAATAGCAGAGTTGGAAAGGACCTTGGAGATCTTCTAGTTCAATGCCCTGCTCAGGCAGGAAACCCTATACCAAGGGTGTCAAACTGCTGGCCCAAAGGCCGTATGCGTCATGCCAAAACGGCGCCCAACCCATTTCCGCCAATGGGAAAAAAGTCACGATACGTCGCAACACGTCATTTGACATCACAAGTTTGATACCCGTGCCCTATACCATTTCAGACAAATGGTTGTCCAGTCTCTTCTTAAAAACCTTCAGTGTTGAGCACCCACAATTTCTGGAGGCAAGTTGTTCCACTGATTAATTGTTCTAACTGACAGGATTTTTTCCCCCTTAGTTCCAGGTCGCTTCTCTCCTTGATTAGTTTCCATCCGTTGCTTCTTGTCCTACCTTCAGGTGCTTTGGAGAATAGGCTGATCATTAGAACACAGTACTGAGCTACTGCTAAGGTTGCCTTCTGTAATAGTATGTAAGAATGGCCTTGCAGTAAGGAGGAATAGCTGCAGTCTTGAGAATGATCTGATAAACAAAATTTGAATCACTGAGAATTGACCCCGTCTTGATGACACACGATTAATCAATCAATTAAAGCAAGTGCATTTGCATTTTCTATTTTCCACATTTATATTTTATGCTTCCTCCCAAAATGTGGGATAGGTATATTTAAACTATTGTACTTTAATTTTTCCTCAATAAAAGCTTGAGCTGACAGACACCAATGGCACCAGTGTAGAAAATAACATATATCAGACACTACCAAGGGGTTAATGTGTCTTCCCCCTTGATGAGATTGCACAGATTAAGATATATGGCAGGAAAGTAGTTGATTAAAACAAAAGAAAAGCAAAATTGTGATAGGCAACTTTACTCCATTATAATGATCCAGATCTTTTCAATTTAAGACTTGCTCTGTTTGCTGTGTTGGCTGTCTAAACTAAAACCCCTGACTTGAATTGTAAAATGCCTGGGCAAATTCACTTTGATTCATATTCTCTATGTGTGGAGCATTAAATAGCTGGCTAATTATATTCAGTACAAAGCTATTTCTTAAAGTCTGATACAGGCAAAACACTTTCATGTGGTTAAGATTATTGACCCCTCTGGATGATTGCAGTGAGGCCATGAAGTTAGCAATCATAAATACATTGCACACTGTTTCCAGTATAATTGTGCAGCTCAGCCTGAAAGAGACACCAGTTCATTGTATATTTCATTTCATTTGAGAATTTCTAGATGAGAATTCTGCAAAAAAAGGTTCACAGTAGGACTCATTAAAAGACTTTTCTCCCCTTTAAAATAGTACTGACTGACTCCATTATTATAGCAAAATTATTAGCCGGGATGTGTTCTTGTGCCTATATTGATGAACCTGGACCAGATGGCTCTATAGAAAGATTCATTCCCTGAACTATTTTTTGTTCCAGCTACTGTTTATGTCACCATGGATTGGATGGCAGTGAGAACTCTTTCAAAATCTCGGCTTATGTCAAGATGGATTCAATGCTTGAGTAATGCTTATAGGAGAGCATGACAAAGGTTTATGATGTCAAAACTATCTTTAATGAAGCCAGAATTGGAATGTGAATCCACCCAGAGGTCTAGTCTAAGACTGCTGGTTTTTCAACTTTGGTTTTGATTGAAGCTAACTTTACATCTCATGATTCATTAACTGAATTTAACTAGCATTTGCTATTATCCTTTCCTCCTGGTCAGTAAAAACAATCATTGTAAAATACCAGTATTTCTTCTAACAGCTTGCAGGTATAGGCCACCTATTCTGGCTTTCAGTGGGCTGAATAAGATAATGATTGTTTATTTTAAACTTGTTCCTCCTTTGGGGTCTGTTTGAAGCTAAAACTGGGTCTATAGTGACAAATGCCATGCACCTTTCCAGCTTGTCTAGTGCTAATGGGAAACAATGCTTGGTACATTTTTACAGACTAAAAAAAAAATAACAACCCACCTCTCTTCTAGTGTAACCAATCTAAAATGAATGGCCATACAACACTCTGAAGGTGACAGAGCTGACTTAAATTTCTTGCTGAGAAACAGCAAGGTGATGCTTTCCAGCACTTGCTTCAAGCAAAGGTGATGAAGAATAAAATAGCTGATCAGCTGAATGGTGTGAACTACTGTCATGAAAAATTAAATAACTGGAAGTTGGGATCCATGAATGGTGTTTCAAGCTGGATATTCCGGGACTAAATCTCGGCATTGAAATAGCTGTTCCTGTATTTTAATTCAGAAACAGCCCTCCATGAGTGATGATCATACCTTGACAAAACTGGGCCCTATTTTGTTTGCCCCCACTGTTCCTGGGAATAATTTGTATCATTTACATAGCTCTGTGCCAAATTGTTGTTGCTGTTGTCCTCTCAGTAATCATATCCTCTTTTTTATTGCTTGTTTTTGCAATCTGTGATATTATATTTTGACAGTTTTATATGGGGCATGTTATGGTGCTACACAGTTCTTCTCCATACGGCTATATATTGCAATGATTAAACAGAGATTTGAAGAGTGATTAGTCTTCCAGTTAGCTCCATTTTAATTATCTTCTTTCTTGTCTGTTCAGTTGTTCCAGGGTATCAGGATATCCAGTGTTTCATGCTCTGTTTTAGCTTACCCAAGAAGTAGCCTCTTAATTAGGAGCAAAATGCATTTGGGTGAACCAGAGAGATTGGATGTCTTTCAATAACCTATTAACCCATGATTTATTCATTTATTTATTTATTTCTCTGGTCGGTTGGGTCTAGTCAACCCACTGACCTATACATCCATTACCGAGCTTGTATTCACAAAATACACTGAGTCACACATTAGCTAATCACATTTTATTGTAGCTGCAGGTCAAAACTGAGTTCCAAAACAGAGACTCATAAATCATACATGAAATTAATTATCAACCTTATCCTCTTGGTTTTCAGGAGTCTCATGTAACATTTTGGCATTCAGCCACAATTTGATTTCATCAAATCAATACAAAAACTCTTTTGCTGACGCCTAGTGTTTGTCAATATTTTTGCAGCCCTGATATGGTACTACTAATCATTATAACCTGCAGAAATCTTGACTTGGAGGACAACAACACTGCATTTGGAGTGTGCATGGGTGTGCATA